GGGGGGGTTGGACTACGATAGTCTAACGGGCTTCTGAGTGGGGGTGGTCCGATGGTCCGATGGACTTCTCAGCGTTGGTTGCTTCTGAGCTTGGGCCTGAGAAAAAAATCTTGCACCAGGGCCCTTTGTTCCTTAGGTCCGCCACTGGGAAGGTTGATAGGTCGGGGTGGACATACTAATTCTCCTGAGTACTTGCATGAACATGTGCCGTTCTCCAACATCCTTAATTCAAATACAAGCTTAGGGCTCTTTAATAAGGTTGTGACACCTTCCATGGAGCAATTAAAGGTGAAGTCCAGGCAAATAGAAAAGAGGTAAGAGAGGAAGAAGCAGCACAAGGAGTCAAGTAGTTTGGAAAAGTATGCTGATAGGAGGAGAGAACAGAGTGACAGAGAGATGAGCTTGTTGCTGTGCAGAATCTCCTGCTTCTCCTTTCACTATCCAATCACTGGCTGGAGGTGGGTCCAGGACAACCTAGGCTCAGAGGACATAGCTTGAATTATGCTGCAAGTCAGAGGACATCTAGTGGCAGAAAAATAGTACTGCAGAGAAATCTTTGGGTTAAAGGTGAATTTTCCCATTTTATTGCCTAATGGTCTATTCATATCAAGTTATTTTTGGTAGGAATTTTCATCCCTGGAGCGGTTTTCATCCCTCCTAATATGATATACATGCATCCCAGCTGCCAACTTGTTTTTGGATGTGCATGCTCCAGGACTTCCTTCCTTTGTGCGGCATTAGCCGAGGAGCTGACCCGGAACAAGCACGTCTACCAGATTTCTGGACTCCTGAATTCCATATGCTTGTACAGGGTCAGTGTCCTGAGAAGTAGGGATTCAAGGATATGAATGGGAACCCTGGAGTTTGGACCTCCAAAAAAACCTCATTCATGGCAGACCCCAGGTTTCTAATCTGACAAATTTCCTGTAAGAATGGCCTTGACTTCCTGAATGACCCTCCACCTGAGGATAAGTTGAGCTTCCTGGCTTCTGTGTGTCTTCATACATATTTATTGAATGCATTTCTAACCTCCTTCTGGGGTTTCCTCCAGGTCTCCTAATCATCAACCAGAGAGATTGATATGTGTTGAGTGCGGGTGTCCTTACTGAACACTGAACAGGAAATGTCCAGGTACTATTGAGGGGTGTTGGGCTCAGGGTAAGGGTTAAACATAGGAGATAGGGTGAGGTTTAGTTTAGCCTGAGGTTAAGGGTTAATATAAATGTAAGATGAAGTGTTAGGTTGCTGCCAAGAAATAGGGGTTAAAGGGCTAGGATGAGGCTCAGTATTAGGATGATGTTAATGGTTATGGTTTCAAGGGTTACTTTGAGGGCATGCATGGTATGAAGATAAATTAGGGTCGAGGGCATGTATGGTATGATGATAAATTAGGGATGAGGGCATGTATGGTATGATGAAAGAATAGGATTTGAGATTAAATGGTTAGGTTGAGGTTAAATGTTAGGTAATGTTAATGGTTAGGGTTTCAAGGGTTACTTTGAGGGTCATGTATGCTGTAATGATGGATTAGGGATGAGGGCATGTATGTGATGATGATGGATTAGGGATGAGGGCATGTATGTGATGATGGATTAGGGATAAGGGCATGTATGTTATGATGATGGATTAGGATTCAGGATTAAAAGGTTAGGTTGAGGTTCAGGGTTAGGTTGATGTTAATTTGGTTAGGGTTTCAAGGGTTAGGTTGAGGTCATGTATGTTATGATGATGGATTAGGGCTGAGGGCATGTATGGTATGATTATAGATTAGGATTAGGGAATAAAGGATTAGGTTGAGGTACAGTGTTAAATTGATGTTAAGCATTTTGGGTTGAAGGGTTAAGTTACGGTTGAGTGTTAGGTTGATATTAAGCATTAGGGGTTAAAGGGTTAGGTTGAGGTTAGGCGGTGAGCTGATTTTAATTTAATAAAGGGCTGGTTTGATGTTACGCATTAGCAGCTTAAAGGGTTAGGCTGATGTTAAGTGTTGGGGATAGTGTTCCAGTATTTCTATATGTTAGATGTTCGTGTACCACTGACTGATTCTCCTTCATATGTAAATGTATTGGGAACGGTAAAAATATGACAACTGCGCAATGGGATTAAATAATCGGAAATGTTTATCCCATTCCACATAGCTGCATGAATTTAAGGTCCAGCTCACATAGTTCATTAGAGGACTGGCCTTCAGGGAGCAACGTTAATCAGTCCAGCACAGGGATGGGCCACTAGGACACTATCAGCATTTTTACACATGAAGGAAGCACTGAGGTCTAATTCAATACCATATTATTGTTTTAAAGCCAAACTCCAGGCACACAGCTTACTTCTGTGCAGCCAGTCTTGTTATATGCTCGACAGCCCTGCAAGACATAGCAGCCAGACCAGTGACTAGACTTTCCTCTAATGCAAAGAAGTAATACAGATAGGTCACCTCCCTGCCCCCAGCCTGTGACTGGACATATCTCTCCTCATGTCAGCATGCTCCTTGTCAGCATATATGCATGCAGAAGAGTTTGGTTGACAGAGCAATAATGAAGTCTATAAGAGGCTCTGGTGGTGATAGCTCTGTTTCTACAACAAAGCAACAAGAGTGGGGACATTATTTGGGAGCACTACCATGGGATGGAGGAATAGAGCCAAGAAAAATGGCAGTCAGTCCCCAGTGGAGTTAGAGGGTGACTCATTCTATAGCCTATAACTAAAATATCAATGTTGGCCTCAAAACTGCGGCCCAAGGGCAGCAAAATTCAGCCCTTTGCTTGCTGTTAACCATGCCTCAAGATAGTATTCCTCCTACTGACAAGGATGGGACACTATTCTTCTCACAGTTATCAATGATGGGACACCACTATTCCTCCCACTGATGCCAGCAATGGGGTATTCTTCCTCCCACTGACACCAACAATGGGACACTATCCCTCCCACTCACAACAACAATGGGGCACTATTCCTACAACCAACACCAACGATGGGACACTATTACTCCCACCAACACCAATGATGGGGCACTATCCCTCCTACCGACACTAATGATGAGGTTCTACCCCTCCCACCACACCAACAATGGGATACTATCCCTCCCACTCACACCAACAATGGTGCACCATTCCTCCCACCAACACCAATGATGGGACACTATTCCTCCCACCAACACCAATGATGGGACACTATTCCTCCCACCAACACCAATGATGGGACACTATTCCTTCCACCGGCACTAACGAAGGGGCACTATCCTTCCCACCACACCACAAATTGGACACTATACCTTCCACGACACCAACAATGGGCCACTATTCCTCCCACCAACACCAACGATTGCCCACTATCCCTTCCTCTCGTGCCCACGCCAATGATAGGGTACTATGCCTATCACATACACCAATCACTTCTTTTGAGAGTGGGGCACAGTATTTACTCCCAGGGCAGGGCATTTTCTACTCCTACTGGCCATAGTGCGGCTCCCCTAGGGTCTGAAGGACAGTGCACTGGACCTTTTTAAAAAAAGTTAAGGACTCCCTGTACTATACCTTTTGCAAACAAGAAGGCTAAGTTCACATGGGCTTGGTTGCAGAAGGGCAACTTTGACCAGAGGTTTTTTTTTTCAGCAGAGGAACCCATCAGAGCTGCCAATTAAAGATGCTGGTCAGATGCCAAATACTGCAGGCAATGCTCGAGGCAGTGCAAGCGAACCCTTCCTTGACGCTAGTGTGTATTAGGCTGTTTGACTCAAAGTACTTGGAAAGGATAAGGCTCACACACTGAGTGCTTCCTTTCAAAAGTAACCTGCAGTCTATCTAAAGATGTTAAACCCAGCCTCCTCCAGTATAGAGTCTACCATAACGTGCCACATGGTGCCTTCATGTCCCTCATCCTCCTCCTCATAGTAACACTATGGCCTGCAATCATTTGTAAGCAAATACTGACTTTCTGAAAGCGCTAGAGCCTATTGACAAATCAGCCCAGCATGGGCTGTTGTCACTTTGGAGGAGGCAGGATAACTGCTGTCCCCATATCCATCTCTAATTTCCACAGATGCTTTGCAGAGGAGAACATAGGACCTGGTACAATCTGATACCTTACCCACTAATATAAAGGGGATTCAGTTAAATATTTTAGTAAGACCAATGCTAGATTCACACCAGTGCGAGTTACTAAGCACATTAACACTTGTCTTCATGCACATCAATATGGACCGGTAATGCACTTCACGTTGTGGGCCATACCATTCATTTCTAATGGGTCCTAAATATTTTAATTCTGTGACCAGCGCACCTGACCAACCAACCCAACACAGTGCATGTGTTATGGTGTGCTGCCATGGCCAAAAATGGGTCAAGTAAATTTTTTGTTTTTGAACCGTCTTACGGGCCTCTAGGCATAATGTTCATCAATTTTCCTTACAATGCCCACAAATAGGTGTGACTGGGCCCCAAAGATTTCCTTTAAATTCCAAATGAACCATAGAATTCTACACAGGTTTAGTAATTATGTAATCAGTAAAAGTTCTTACCTCTTCCACTTCTGCCCACAAATCTCAGGTCGTTAAACCTTGCCACTTGATTTTTCATGACGGCAGAAGCGTTCCTGAGTTCCGCGGAGTAATTTTCATCATTCCCAGCCATCACAGTAACCACAGAGCCATCTGACACCTCTCCCAGGGCAACCACCTGTACAAGTACAATGCCTGGAGTTAGTTGTTACACTTGTGGACAGGTCATGCTCAGACCAGCATTAGAGTAGTATGGCTAGCCCAGTGTCCCCTGTATCAAAGTCCTAGGTGTTGACTGTGACTTGTCCTTGGAATTGCTTTGTCCCTAGGAATGTCCCTCATTTTGTACAATGGTCACGCCTAAACTTTGTAACAATGTCACCATTGAAGTGGATCGTTAAAGTTAATTGTAAAGCCCAATTTTGTAAAAGTTTTGGATAGAAGGTGGAAGAGTTTGAACTCTTCTCAAGTCTATATGGCTGTCCGTGCCTCTGTTGGGGAGATTTGCCCACTCTATTGTCCCTGCTGACCATTGTCTGCAATACAAAAAGTGATGGGAAAGTCAACATTTTCAAGTTGTCACCAAAACAGGAGGGGAAATCGTCCAATGGGAAAAGCTCCTCTGGTGGCAACGAAGAGGGGATATCTTCTGTTTGAAGAGATCTCCTTTTACTTCCTGCTGTGACAGGAAGTAAAGGTAAATGTCATGGCACACAAACAGCAGGAAAAAAAAAACTGAGAAGGTTCTTTACTATCCTAATGTACAAGAACTAAAAGTTAAAGATTTTGGCTTTACATACACTTTATGGCTTAAGCTGGAGGCAAGTCTGCCAATGTCACTAGTGTGTAACGGAGACACGCTGCTATGTTTACGTAACTGACCTAATAAAGTTCTGTTAAAAGTGAACTCCGGGCATGAAAAGTTTCACCCAAATATATTCCACAAGGAGAGAGAGCAGCAGTGACAGGTTTTTATTACAGGAGGGGGCAGAGACAAGACCAGTCACTCCGCACAAGGAGAGAGAGCAGCAGTGACCGGTCTTTATTACAGGAGCGGACGGAGACAAGTCCAGTCCCCCTGCACAAGGAGAAAGAGCAGCGGTGACGTGTCTTTATTACAGGAGGGGGCAGAGACAAGCCCAGTCACTCTGCACAAGGAGAGAGAGCAGCGGTGACCGGTCTTTATTACAGGAGGGGCGGAGACAAGACCAGTCACCCTTCTCAAGGAGAGAGAGCAGCACTGACCGGTCTTTATTACAGGAGCGGACGGAGACAAGTCCAGTCACCCTGCACAAGGAGAAAGAGCAGCGGTGACGTGTCTTTATTACAGGAGGGGGCGGAGACAAGACCAGTCACCCTGCACAAGGAGAGAAAGCAAAGGTGAACGGTCTTTATTACAGGAGGGGGCGGAGTTAACACCAGTCACCCTGCTCAAGGAGAGAGAGCAGCAGTGACCGGTCTTTATTACAGGAAGCTCCAAGTTTCACACTGGATTACTGCAAAGATCTGGAAGAAATACACAAAGCCCCCCAAGATTATCTATATTGCTACTTTCTATCTATCTATCTATCTATCTATCTATCTATCTATCTATCTATCTATCTATCTATCTATCTATCTTTCCATCCACAGAGCTGTACATATCCTGGAAACCACTTTCTATTCACTGGTGTAGCTGTATAAACGCTCTATAAGCTGAAACGAGACCAGTGGATGGCTATTGCTGACATTTTTATAGAATGCACATATTTTATACCAGAATACCAGAAATATTCATAATTTATCAAATGAATTCAGCCTGGCAGAGAATAGCTGAACGGTCACATAAAAATGAGCAAACACTATAAAGCCGGCATATGTTAAGTAATATATTTTAATAAACTCATTGTTAATGAAAATCCGCGCTGTTTGAGGAAAGTTAAACACTGCATTAGGCAAGCAAATTGGATGCATTTTGCAAATTATATATTATTATTAATTTTATTGTTCGTTAACTCAACATGACCTCGGCTCATTAGCTAGAGGGATCCCTGCTGTATTTTAAAAGTCCAGGCTTTTATTATTTATTAATATTAAAGCCAAATGTAAAAAGTAAAAATCTGTGAAGGTTTTCTTTTAACAATGCGAGGTACGAGAATGTAGCGTTAAAAGGCGAATGTGCTGAGCAGTGTTTGCATCTAAGACGACAGTGGCCAGTAGGTCCAAACTGGGGTTATTCCTTTACCGGGCAAACCAGTGCAGTCAGTGAGCTAGCAAAAGTGTCCCATGGATCCCATACCATATCGTTTTTGGGTGGGATGACCATTTAATTAGCCAGCAGACATTCACCTTGCCCTGTGCTATGGAGTATCCCTACAGAGCATTCTGTAACAGGTTTGCTCCTGGGTTTAGTGCTGGATGGACCATGTTCATGGATAGCTGGCGGGTTCAAACATTAACCCCTGTCTGGACTCCAGCAGAGCCCCTGAGACTGGGTGAAGTTTTGAAAGGGTGCTGAGCCAACCAAATGTTATCACAGTACCTTTTACAAAGGGCAACTGAGACTCATGTGGTTAAGATGGGAAGCCACCTCTTAGGGGCATACCAAGTCATCTTGACTTAAGCAACCATATTTGGACTTTGGATAAAGAAGAGGATCTTGCTGCACTCCGTACCAGATATTCCCAGCAGTTGGGAGGGTGCTTGTAATGACTGCGGATGGCACCGCTCAAACATCGTCAATGTTTGAGCCTGATGAAGGGACCCTGCGTGGCCCGAAAGCGCTTGTTTCTACTTTTGATGAATTCTTCAATAAAATTAGCATTTGGTGATCCTGAGAGGATTTTGGGTGTGCTGGTGACATTTTTCGCAACTTATTGGACTTCACTACTTAACCTCATTGAGTATACCAGGTCATCTTGACCTAAGCAACCATATTTGGACTTTACCACTTTACCACTTCGCCTCATTGGGGCATACCAGGTTATCTTGGCATAGGCAACCTTGTTTGGACTATACCACTTCACCTCATTGGGGCATACCAGGGTATCTTGGCATAGATAACCTTGTTTGGGGCATACCAGGTCATATTGCCATAGGTGACCTTATCTGGACTATACCACTGCACCTCATTGGGGCATACCAGGTCATCTTCACATAAGCGACCTTATTTGGGCTCTACCAACTCACCTCACTTGGGGTAAACAAGGTCATATTGACACAAGCAACCTTATTTGGACTATACCACTTCACCTCTTTGGAGCATACTACATACTACAATGCCAGGTTCCTCAATGCGCCTCCCTGTAAGCAGGCTGCATACAAGTGATCTTGGCGACATCGCCGAGATCACTTGTACAAAACAAGCGGCGACTTCCCGCTGTACATTTAGCCCTGCTTGCCCACAATGACCACAATGCATGCACAGAGAATGGCACCCCAGCACATAAGCACAGTAGGTGCCCATGGACCCACTCTGCAGCACACCTTAAAGTACATGAAGTGTGTTATGGCAAAAAAAAAACTGTACATGCATTTTAGCCATGCAAACGTTTAGCGTTCAACAACAACGCCCTTCCATGCGAGCCTTTATGCAGATCATGCTACTGATATAAGATAATACAAATTTCCATGAACTGAAATGTATTATGCAAAAAAAAAAACCCCGCATTGCAAACTTTGCGTCCAACATTCGGCGCCTAAAACTCCTGATCAGATCTCACACTGGACTAACGATTGAAACAATTCACACCCACACAGCATGACACCACTGTCTCCTAACACAGCGCCCTGTCATCTGTAACCGACCCGGCATGGGAATACCCCATTGGGGTGAGTGGGCACACATCCCTATCTCAGTCACAACCAACCACTGTTACATCACTGAAGGGGTTACCCAGAAGTCCCTTCTCCTTTTAGAGAGGTGTATTTGCATCAGTGTCACTGAAAGTTTCCTAGAGCGAATCTAAGTCAGATCAGCCTGTGGTTGGGCATTGTGAAACACTGAAAATCACTTTGTATATAGAACACTTTTGCTTATGAAGTGCCATATACACTATATTGCCAAAAGTATTGGGACACCCCTCCAAATCATTGGATTCAGGTGTTCCGTGAATTTTCCTTGCTACTAAATATCCCACTTCACCTGTTAGTGGTATTATAACAAAGTGGAAGCCACTGGGTACAACAGCAACTCAGCCTTGAAGTGGTAGGCCACTTCAGTGGTGTAAAGCACGCCGCCACTGGACTCTAGAGAAGTGGAGACGTGTTCTCTGGAGTGACGAATCACGCTTCTCTGTCTGGCAATCCGATGGATGTGTCTGGGTTTGGTGGCTGCCAGGAGAACTGTACTTGCCTGACTGCATTGTGCCAATTGTAAAGTTTGGGGGGATTATGGTGTGGGGTTGTTTTTCAGGGGTTGGGCTTGGCCCCTTAGTTCCAGTGAAGGGAACTCTTAAGACATCAGCAGACCAAGACATTTTGGACTATTTCATGCTCCCAACTTTGTGGGAACAGTTTGGGGATGGCCCCTTCTTGCTCCAACATGACTGCGCACCAGTGCACAAAGCAAGGTCCATAAAGACATGGGTGGGGGAGATTGGGGTGGAGGAACTTGACTGGCCTGCACAGAGTCCTGACCTCAACCCGATAGAACACCTTTGGGATGAATTAGAGTGCAGACTGCGAGCCCGGCCTTCTCCTCCAACATCAGTACCTGACCTCACAAATGGTCAAACATTCCCATAGACACACTCCTAAACCCTGTGGACACCTTCCCAGAAGAGGCGGATCTGTTATAGTGGCAAAGGGTGGAGCCAACTCAATATTGAACCATACGGACTAAGACTGGGATGCCCTTAAAGTTCATGTGCGTGTAAAGGCGTCCCAATACTTTTGGCAATATAGTATACATATATATATATATAGTATATATATATATATACACATCTCCTATCATGCAATGCTTTGGCCCAGCGGGAGGGGCTGATATCACCGCCCCGATGTAAGCCATTCGCCATGGAGCATGGGAATTTTGCAGTGGCAGCGATGGAGGAATGTGCAGCAGGGGGGCCTCTGCAAATGTTAGCAAGCGTGTTGGCACGTGGGCTCTAAGGAGACTCTGTCGTCTGGCCCTAAAGCAGGGGTGGGCAACTCTTAACCACAAATCTCATCATGTCTCTGCCTCTGGGAGTCATGCAT